GGGACGGTTGGCAACTCTAATAATTAACCTTATAAACAAAATAAGATAAAACAAGTTCAACATCATTAACATCATAGCACCCGCCCAGCTGTATAGGAATTCCGTCATGCTAGCTAGCACGCAGTACGAGTTATTGTAACTGACTGTAAAAAGTCAGCATAATGAAAATAAACTCCACCTAAACTTGGTTTATATCTGACCCAGATAGACTGCAGCTCATAACTTCTTACCTGAAGTTCAGTTCACCGCCTCGGGTCTCTGCTCCTCCTGCCTTTCCGTCATCCACCTGCCAGCGTGTTGCATCTGCTGGCCTCCACCACTTGCTAATGTTACTGAATCTGTGGAAGCTCCGCAATAACCACCACCAAACAACTGAGTTATTTTTACACATCTCCCAGCATCTGGCCAATCCACCACCTTTCAGTGTTTATACCGTTACAGGAAAAAAACGAAAAAAACAAACAAAAAAACATCGGCCCATAAAAACGAAAAATCACCATCAGCCCACCGGAAATGCCCGGTATGCCCGATGGCCAGTCCAGCTATGGCTACACCCGCAGAAACACACATATACACACACACCCTGCCTACACATACAACATGTGGAACATAGACATGACAGCATCGTGCAGAAGACACACACATCAAATAAAAGAAATAATAGTCCACACTGCTCACAGACCCTGAGTCCCCAGAGCCGGGTCCGTGACAGATCTCTTAATTCTTAAAGGGAGAATATTCTATAACAACCTCACAAAAGAGGGAAGTTCTCCCTCTTGTCTTTCTCCCCTCCCCTCATTCTCTATAGCAAAAGTTATTTTATTACAATTGTCATGTTTATTCAACACTATACTTCAGTTTGCATAATACCAACATGATTTCTTATCATGTTAAAAAGAAATATGTGGTTTCCCTCTATCATTCTATGTATTTTTCATTTCTGATTACTTCTTTTTGTCCAAAAATCTGTTTTTCTTGTCTTCTCTTTTTAACACCTGTTAAGATCTGCAGTCACATTACATTTAAAACGACTTTTTCTGGTTGTTCATGATTTAAAAAAAACCTTTCTATTTCTCTGTCTTTCTGCCTACTCTACTCACACCCAGACAATTGTTTAGTCTAACTCCTTACACACACACACACAGAGCTCAAGGTCACATCTGCACAGAAAACAAATTCTTAACATTAGAATTATTTCATTGTAATGATTATGTTCTTATTCACCTTAAATTAAATTATTCAGCTTGTTAATTCTTGATTATGTTTTGATCAGGTTTCTGATTTGATTGCAGCAGGAATAACTGCCCATTGAAAGTGCATACATAAAACTCTGTCGCTCTGTGTTACATTATAACACCCACAAAGGCTGGAGTTGCTAAATTAATTTACTTAATTTCTGGTTGGAGCTGAGCTGAGGGATCTCAGTCTTCTTGATACAGTCGAATGAAATGTTGTATCTCTGTATATTGTGACCAAATGGTACCATAAATAATTGAAAAAAGGATAGGTCCCCTGGGGGACTCCACAGTTCAGTCCAGACTACACAGACCTGCGGTCACCAATGGAAACAAAAAACTTACAGTTTGTCTAAACCACCACAGAGATGTCCCAGACACCGTCCCAGTGCTGCAGCCAGAATTTGATGTCCTGTTGTATGAAATGCTGAACTTATGTGAGGTAGTGCAAGAATAGAACATTCACCATACAAGCAGTTTTTAAGATGTAATTTGTAACCTAATACACAGTCATAGTATTGTGATGCTGACTGAATTTTTTTCAAGGATGTTGTTTTTAAGAAGCTGAAGACAATCTTCTCTAAGAGTTTTGATGTAAAATGTTACTTTGAGATTGGTCTGTACATTTTTTACACAGCATCAAGATTTTGCATGATCTCACAACAACAAAGTGAGATCTAATTTAAGAGATGGTCCACTGTGTTACAAACAGTGCCATGGGTTTAGATCCAGGGTTTTGAGTTTTGGAGATGTTTAGGGGATTCTAGTTAGCATTTTTAATAATCTTGCATTTTATTTCAGTATTCTGTATTATTTGGTGTTCTTTTCATCTACTAATTGGAAGACTGTTGGTTGATTCCTGGCTGCTGCATGCCAAACATCCTTGGGCAAGATACTACTCTAAGCACTCATTCACTCATTTACACAAGCACCTATTTTATGCCTTTAAGTGCTTTCTATCTATACTCACACACATTCATACTCCGGTCTACTGTATTGTTAACATTTCAATGTGTTTGTGTATATAGGAAGCACCGTATGTGATGCTAAAGAAGAATGCTGAATTGTTTCAAGACAATGACCGTTATGAAGGTACGTTACATCAGGTACTATATGTCTATATGATACTCATAAAAAAATGTTTGAAAAGTTATTTACAGCACAGTAAAACGTTTTATTTGTTATTTAAACCAAAAAATCTAGACCAAAATTGTCATATCAGTATTCTGTATTGAGACTGACTGAAACTGGACGTTCAGTACAGAATCCCAAAAGGTTGATTCTGTCCATGTGGACGTAGTGTTTTCAGTGGGAGAAAGTGTCACTTGGATGAGTGATGAAGCATTTATCTAAATGACAACACTATGTGCAGATGAACAAAATTAACCTTTGGGATTTCCTTGCCTGGATGATGGCGCATGCATTAAGACGTAAAGTAAAGTAGAGCCAAGTCCAAGATGGCGCCGGAGTGCATGGCTCGCCGTCCACGGCTGTCGGATCCACTTTTGCTCTGCGTGTTTATATTGTTTTTGTCACTTTTATTGAACAACGCTGACTCTCTACTGATCTACGATCGTGAAACTCTCTTAAATATTCGACTTGCCACAGAGAAACTGGTAAGGACTAGCGCTGATGGACAGGACTTTTTCCCACCTCCGCTACTCTCTGGAGTACCGGCTCACCTAGGCTACACCCCTACCCCATCTCATAAGAAGCGCTTTAAACGTCGGAGAAAACGCAGCGGGCTGTTAGTGAAATTGAAATCATATTTAGGTTTTTCATCTGGCAGAGACAGAACAGTTTCCCAATGCACTCTGGCGGAAATCCGACCTTTGCACTGGCGTTTCGTCCCCCGTTGCTTCTTGGAACCTATTGCCACCTAGCTAGTACCTGTTGTCGGCTCGGCTGAGGAGATCCTGCGTCCCCGCCTTCTCTTACCTCGTCTTCGCTGCGGTGGAGTAAATCCGCAGAATCCAGTGAAACAGGTTTCTTGGATGGCTGTCACCGCAATGATGGACCCTACCCGGATTGCTCTGGGTAACGCTAGGTTGTTAGCAAATAAAACGTTCATATTGAAGGATTTCTTCACTTCTCATAATCTGGATTTCCTCTGTGTGACAGAAACCTGGCTAAGTGACGGTGAGTTAAGCGCCAGACTGTTCCTATTTTAACTCACCGAGGACTACGGCCGAGGTTGAGGAGTGGCAACAGTTTACAAAAACATTTTGATTTCTCGCCTAGAACATGATGTTAGAATTAGAGGCACTACCTTGGAGTGGTTCAAGTCATACCTGTCTGACAGAAGTTTCTCTGTCTCACTTGGTAAATTTTATTCATCTTCCGCCCCCCTCCCATGTGGTGTACCCCAAGGATCCATCCTTGGGCCCCTTCTTTTTAGCATGTATTTACTTCCTCTTGGCCATATTATTAAAAAAACATAAAATTCCGTTTCATTTTTATGCAGACGACTGTCAAATTTATTTACCCCTGAAACACAATGACCCTAACCCCCTCAGGCCTATTTTAGAATGTCTTAAAGATATCAGAGCATGGCTGGCTCTGAATTTTTTTTTAATTTTAATGAAAAGAAGACAGAGGTCATTATATTTGGGCCGAGTGGCCCTGGTGTGCCTCCATCTGACTTGGGTCCTCTCACTTCCTGTGTGAAACCAATTGTTTCCAACCTTGGAGTAAAAATTGACACAGCTCTTAAAATGGACAAACAAATAAATACAGTGGTGAGAAATAGCTTTTTTCAGTTGAGGCAGCTTTCTAAAGTCAAACCTTTTATTTCTTTTTATGACTTCGAGAGAGTTTTACACGCATTTGTGCCCACTCGCCTTGATTATTGTAATGCGCTTTATATTGGTATTGATCAGGCTTCACAATCACGCTTGCAAATGGTCCAGAATGCTGCTGCTCACCTGCTGACAAGGACACGCAAACGTGAGCACATTACCCCTGTTTTTGCCTCCTTACACTGGTTGCCTGCCCATTTTAGAATTCATTTCAAAATTTTGTTTGCTTTTAAAGTTTTAAATGGCCTGGCTCCTTCTTACCTGTCAGACCTTCTACATCGATACACTCCACGAATGTCTTTCAGGTCAACTGACCAGTCACTCCTTGCTGTCCCCATGTCGAGACTGCTTTTGCTGTTGTGGCCCCCAAAATATGGAATAAACTGCCCTTCCATATTAGGTTGGCCCCAACACTCGAAATGTTTGAATCACTTTTAAAAACTCACATTTTTTCAAAGGCTTTTTAGGAGTAGTAACAGAGTCAGTTTGTAGTCAGCTGTTGCTCTTAATCTTTTTTTATTTTGTTAGTTTTATTCATTGTATATTTTATTGTCTATTTTACTCATGTTTTAATATTTAATATATATACTCATTTATTTTATCATTTTCATTTATGTATTTATTTTACTGTTATTTATATTTATTTCTTTGTCTGCTTAGTGTATGGTTTTTAATGTTTATCTGTTTTATTTTTGGAAAGCACTCTGGTCAACTTTGTTGTTTTAAAATGCTATATAAATAAAGTTGGATTGGATTTATAGATTACATACAAATGCTACTGCCACCATTTAAAGTAGCACCATGTGAGTGGCAACCAGTGTGTATAGCATTCTGCATATAAAACCTTTCATTATTCATTCCTCTACTTGAAGTATTAATGAAAATAATTTGTTGTTTGAAGTATGTGCCATGAAGATAGCTCTATGATACCACAATAGCATATGTTTTTCCTTACTTTTAAAACTTTTTCAAGACACATAAGGTGCCGTTAATTTAGAGTAAATTTGATATTAAGATATGTGATATTCAATTACACACTACTCTTGTATCTCATATAAGCGACTTTGTTGTTTGGCTGTTTGTACTGATGCAAGGTTACTGTGTCGACCTGGCTGCGGAGATTGCAAAGCACTGTGGGATACGCTACCAGCTGAGGATTGTGGGAGATGGCAAATATGGAGCAAGAGATGCTGAAACCAAAATCTGGAATGGTATGGTTGGAGAGCTGGTATATGGGGTAAGACTTTACACAGGCACAATAAACAGCAGAATGTTTTATTTAACTTGAGCATGAGACAAATTAAATATTGGTGGTAGTGCAAAACAAAAATGGTGTGTGAAAACCATGTTCAAAGCAAAGTTTATAAATATTACTTAAGACATGGAATAGAAATTGTTAAGTACTAGATTTTATCTCTGCTGAACCTCTCTCTTAGAATTGCATAAGCACATTTAACCAAATGCCTGGAAATTTGTGGACATCAACCAACTGCAGCTGCATTTTTCTTTATGGTGGTTTTACCTGCACGTCCTGCAGTGTGAATGACACTTTAAACTTGAAATTTTCTTTACTTTTAATTAGATTAAATTGGTATTGATAGTAATTAATAACATTCATTAAAGATCTGAGTAACTGACCAAACACTCCGATCATTTAAGTTAGAGGAGGCAGTCTGAAAAATCTGGAAAATTAAGCTTTATGTAGCACCAGTTCAGAAAATTCCCTCAAATAAGATTAGCTGATTGTTGGGGTTTCATCTCTAACACTGTGTAATTTAGTGAGTTACAACGTATTTTTCGACAAATCCATTACATGAGATTCTTGGATGAGACTCAAATAACCATTTAATACCATCCAATCCCCCATTTTATAGATAAAATGGAGAGGATGGGGTGGATTCCAGCTTCATCGCCCAGATTTATTGTTTTGTTCCTGTTCACACTATATTCTTATCTTTTGTAACAAGAACCCAGACCAACAGACAGTTTTGCCAGCACATGACACTTCTTATTTGTGAAAAAACAGTGGAGGGAGGCTTTTCAACCCCACTCTCTCCAGCTTAGTAATTCCCTACTCTCCCCTCCATTCAAAGTAGGCTATTGGGTCATGAAGGTGTCCCGAATTCTTTGATGTTGGGTTGAGAACAAACAACCAATACTCAGAGCAGGTCTAGTCAATCCTCAATTATTTATTTAGCTTGCATGCAAGGGAGATGTACACAATACCACCTTCCGTGTAGTTCTCAAAGAGGAAGCACTTTGATACACAGTTTTATATGTCAGGGTTCACGCCCCTTCGTGCGTAAGCAGATAACATAACATGCAGCAGTTACAGTTAGTGACAGCTAGACACGATTCCTTTTTTGGTGATCTTCTACAATTACTCAGAAATCTATCTTAACTGCCTTTCACCCCCACCTGTTTCCTGTTGTTCTCGTTATGAGTCTTATAATAGTAAATGACACATCCTGAGTCCATCCTGTTCTCACTGTCGCTGTGCAAGCACGTATGCAATTACAATCAAAGCACTTCTGGTGATACCCTATGATCTAGCACATTTTATTAGCAGCTGGGTTAATATGGCCTTTGCTGAAATACTGCTTCATGATATATTTTCAACAATTCCCCCTTTTGACCTTCGAAAGAAGGTCACCATACTTCTGATGCTGCTACTCCCCTAGGCACCCCTATTGCATCCATATATGTTAAAAACCCCACAAATAAGTCAAACAAGTAAGTGTACGTCCAGAACAGCACCTTGCATCTACACTGGGCTGTGAGCTGCCTTGCCCTGTTTCCTGAGACCCTTACCCCCTTTTTACCCAGCATAATAGTACAAACCCGCTCTTGCCCACGGGCCAATTTATGTCATGTTTACCCCTGGAGGCATTCCCTTGGGCTGGATACACCACCAGTCCGCTGGGATCTCTCCTACGTACATACTTCTGACTTCCCTTGCTGCTCACTGTAAAATCAAAACAGGTATAGTTAGCGTTTCTTCGGGTAAAAGGTCCCGGAGTAGTTTTATTATCAATTGGTGGAATTGCACTTCTGGTTATTATAAGCACACAACTAAATCCCCGCGTGTCATTTGAATAGACAGGGCCAGGTTCGGTGAACAGGTGTGGGCGGGTGGCTACGCACGCCACACAGTCTGACACCTTTTGTTCCTTTATATTTTGAATTAGCCAATCTAACCCCAGGTTGATATTTCTATACCCAGTATCTGTCAGTTCTCTTAGTTGTCGCGCTTTCCCTCTCTGGACAGTCTGTCCCCCTTTAACGGCTGGACCAAATGTGGGATGACCACTGTGTTCGGGCAATTAACATAACATAAAAATCACACAAACTATTAGTAAAGCTAATACTCTCAGACCTCCCATTACTTTTCAGCTTCCACCTTTGTGCTCAAACTAGAAACTCTGTCTAAAGGGCTTTTGACCTTCTTTACATTTAAACAACTAATCTTCTGGGACGGGCAATTCTCTGTGCTCTTCTCCTCTTCTTACTTTAACCTCATGGATGGACCACCATGCACCATGAGGTCTTTTTCCACAGACCGGGGGATTATTCTGCCCCCTTTTTGAGGTCTGGGTGTTTCTCTGACTCAGCCAAGTCAGGGCTTCTGGCCTTCTTAGTCTGGTCCTTCTGGATTTCCGCCAACCCCTTCGTGGTTATTGCTGTGGTTCTGGAATCCTCTCAAGGTGACCAGTAGGAGCCAGAACGGCATGACCCTTGACTTCAATCACTGACTGGGCCATCTGCTATGCCTGGAATGATGTGTGCTTCTCGCTGGTTCTCTAGGAAAAAATCTGGAGCTCTAGGAACTTATGGTCCATTATAATCTTAAATTTTACCTGTACTTGAATTGTTAATCACACAAATCACCATAAAGTCATAGGAAAAAAAATCATAGAAACTATTGTTTCAGGCATGTGGCCCCTGGTGCATGCCTCTAAAGTCTTCTTTGTGCATGTTCCAGTATTCTACAGGTACTTCCTCCTTCAGTCCAGAGATATGGATGTAAAGTTAGGTGAACATCCTTACAGTGTGTAGAATTAAACACTATATGATTGTATAGTTAAATGTGGCTTGTAGGCTAGAATCACTTATGTGATCACAACGACTGCCAAAGCGCTGTAGTAGCAGCAGCTCTTCCAAGTCCATGAAGCAATCACATTGTCCCTGTCACTGTGTCTCTACTTTCCAACAGAAAGCAGATATAGCTATTGCTCCCCTGACAATCACTCTTGTCCGTGAAGAGGTGATAGATTTCTCCAAACCCTTCATGTCTTTGGGAATCTCCATCATGATTAAAAAGCCACAAAAATCCAAACCAGGTGTTTTCTCCTTTCTGGACCCACTGGCCTATGAAATCTGGATGTGCATTGTCTTTGCCTACATAGGAGTTAGTGTTGTTCTCTTTCTGGTAAGTAAGCCTGCTATTATGAATTTGCATGCTTTGTTGAAATCCTCTTTTAGGTGCTATCCTGTTTTCATAAGTATCAGTGCCTAATATGGTTATGTTAAAAGAAGGCATAAATACTATGTTTGAAATAAGTGACATAAAACCTACTGACACTTATTGAGACTAATGTATTATGTCTCAAAAAGTGTAGTTCAAGTTTGAAGCCCAACCTTCCTTGCCTCAACATTAGGGTTAATTTAATAGAAAACTAGAAACTTGCTTCGATTCAGAAAGATTTTATATTTATGATCAATTGATTACATGTAATCTGATTTAACAACGAGGAGGTACACTACAGAGGAGCAGTTTAGTTAAAAATGTGTAATTTCTTAAAGAGCAATTGTGTCTTTTTATGGCAGTATAGTTAGACAGAAGCTCCTCTTCACAGCCTAGGCACCTACTTTCTGGCTGGGCTCTTTGAAACAGTGGAAAAAATGAAATGCCTTGTTTTTTGCAAACTTTTAGAAAACCCTGTTATAACAATCTATGTAATTTGTGTATTTCTGTTGACATTCTAATGCTTTGCTGCTGTAGGTATCCAGGTTCAGCCCTTATGAATGGACGCTTGAGGAGCCAGAAGATGGAGCCTTGCCATTAACCACTGAATCCACCAATGAGTTTGGGATCTTTAATTCTCTTTGGTTTTCTTTGGGTGCTTTCATGCGACAGGGTTGTGACATCTCACCAAGGTTGGTATGCCCTTGACATTTCATAGTCATATACGGTATTAGCTCCCGATGTTGTAATCAGTATATTATATTAATATACATTCACTGCCTCATTAATCAGGAACTGAATATTAATACTAATTAAGGGCTGTAAAACAGGCACAGTTCTTATCATAGACTGAATGAGATGAGATAAAAGTGCATTAGAAACTCTGTTCATGCTACAATTGTTCTGTTCTACTTCAACCCTAATATTTTTACACTGACTTGGTATAGCATCATGTTTGTAATGTTAACTATGGCCATGAAGAGATGTATGTGGTCATTGTTAAACTGTCCAGTTTGGGTGAGGCTGTTGCCACTATGGCATTGCTGCTGTAGCTAGCTGTGTTGGGCAAGTCACTGTAGCCTGTCAGCTGAAAATATTTTCTTTATCCACAATGACTTATATATACCAGTCAAAAGTTTGTACACACCTTATCATTTAATGTTGTTTCTCTGTTTTTACTACTTCATACATTGTAGATACATACTGAAGACATCAAATATATGGAGCAAAATATATGGAATTATGTAGCAATATTTTGGATTCCTGAAAGTAGCCACACTTTGCTTTGTTCACAGTGCTGAAAACTTTTGGCCTTTTCTCAATGAGCTTCATGATGTAGCCACCTGAAATGGTTTCACCTCACAGGTGTGCCTGTCAGGGTTCAGTGGTGGAATTCCTTGCCTTCTTAATGGAGTTGGGACCATCAGTTGTGTTGAGCAGATGTCAGGTTGGTACACAGCTGACAGCTCTATTTGACAGCTATTCAAATTCATATTATGGCAAGAACCAATCAGCTAAGTAGAAATGACAGCTAAGAGAATTATCAGTCCATCATTACTTTTAGAACTTTTAGAACCAAGAAGGAGACCTGACCTAAAACCCAAAGGAGATGGTTCCGGATGGAATGGACCGCAGAGTAAAGGTAAACAGGCCAACAAGTGCTCAGCATCTCTGGAAACTCCTTCAAGATGCTTGGAAAACCATTTCAAGTGACGACCTCATGAAACTCATCAAGAGAATGCCAACAGTGTGTAAAGCAGTAATCAAAGCAAAGGCTGTTACGAAGAATCTTAAATATGAAACATGGTTTGAGTTATTTCACACTTTTTATTACACAATTCCATGTGTGTTCATTTACAGTTTTGATGCCTTCAGTAAGAATCTACAATGTGTCAAATCATAACAACAAGTGCCTCAAGATGTAATTGAATGAATTTGTCATGAGTCCTAGAACAGTTTAATTTGATTCATGTGTTTATGTGGGCAGGTCTCTTTCAGGACGTATAGTTGGTGGGGTGTGGTGGTTTTTCACTCTGATCATTATCTCATCATACACTGCTAACCTGGCTGCCTTCCTCACGGTGGAGAGGATGGTGTCTCCCATTGAGAGTGCTGAAGACTTGGCTAAGCAGACGGAGATAGCATATGGAACACTGGACTCTGGATCCACCAAGGAGTTTTTCAGGGTAAGGACTTTTAGTATCAGCTGGACAATAGGAAGAGCCTGCTTCAGCACTTCCACGCACCTAGAGTGTTTATGAAATTTATTTTTTCAAATGGGAATCCTTAGATGACAAAATATGATGATTGTAGTCTCGCAACTTAATCCAAAATTTCCGATAGATCTTTCCTTGGAGTTCAACTGAATCATGTCCTGAAACCTGTCTTCTTTATAAGCTGAAAGATATATTTGTCCCCCAAAAAAAATTTTGTCATCCAAAAGAAAACTTGAATTCAAGTCAGCATGGTTTCAGGCCCTTTGTATGTTAATTTTTTGTATGTCACATTCATTTAACTTAGTTTCACATAGTGGTTCAACGGCACACAACTGAGCTAGATGTGGGATGAAGTGAGCAGCTTTAGAGAATCTATCAACAACGGTGAGAATGACGCTCTTTCCAGAGGAGCTGGGGAGACCAGTAACAAAATCAAGGGAGATGTGAGACCAAGGCCGGTGAGGTGTTGTGAGCGAGTGGAGCTGACCTAGGGGGTGCTTAGTGGATGGCTTGTTGTGAGCGCAAACGGCACAGGCTGACACATATTCCTTTACGTCCTTTATTAGAAATTTCCATCAGAAATGTCGTCTAAGGAGTTGTATTGTTCTACTCACGCCAGGGTGGCACGAAAATCGTGCAGTGTGAATCCAATGAATGACCGCCCCATGGGCGGTAGCGGGGACGAAGCGCCGCCCAGGTGGCCCGGTACCTGGGTTGGGGTCCCCTGCGAGGGCCTGGCAGATAGTCTCCTCAATGTCCCAGATGAGAGCGCCTAAAACGCAGGCAGGGGGCAGGACAGTGGCGGG